GGGGGGGGGAATAAGGACATTTAGAAGAATGTTTTTAGTGAGAAAATAGTATAAATACGTTGCTGAGAATATTCTTAGCAAGAATGAGAAGTAATAATAAAGGGCATAGAAGAGGCAAGAGACCTTTTTTTTTTTTAAATCCTAACTCTCTACTTTGATGAGTCAGAGAACCTACCAACTGAGCCACCATCAATTGGTGAAGAGACTTGTACCTCTCAAGGCACTACTAGACACAAATCTCAATTCCAAATTCCAACTTGCTATTCAATTATACTAGGGGTACTATATGTAGATTTTATTAGTGGTCAGGCCAATCCTTGTACATTCCCAAAATAAAAAATAACAACCAAAAGATAACTAAATATCTAATTACTTAGTATTTGAAACACAAACCATAACTCACTAAAACCCTACCATTAAAGTGGATATTCTTTTGATATGTAATGAGACTCATTAACTGCCAAAAGATTAAAAAAAGACACAAGAGAGAAAAGGAAAGAAAATAAGGAAGAAAGCGAAAAGGAAATAGTTGGGGGCACAACAAAAACATAAAATTCATACAACACCCCTGTAGGGATGATGGGCCAATTGGGCATTAGTGTCTTCTTTTCTTCAATGTTTTAAAACGTGGAGGCATGATGCAAGGCGTTCTACTACCTAGAGGCATGAGGTGTAGTTCGGAACGTAAGAGGCGTAAGCCTCCCGAACACAAAGAGGCGTAAGCCTACTTGAGAGGAGGGGGGATGAGGAGGAAGAAGGAGGGAGAAGAGGAAGGAGGATCTCATTTTTCTTTATTTTTAATAAAAATCTTTTAAATTAAGAAGAATGAAGATGCATATCACTAGTTAAAAGGGGGTGAACAAATACCATCCCCACCCCATCCCTGATCCCTAGAGTTTTGGGTTTCCTCGGAATCCACCCTGAACCTTAACCAAGAAAGACACACTTTATAAACTTAGGATCAAACTTATGCCTAGAAGGACTCATATCATGAACAAAGCAAATACAACTAAAGACCCTAAGAGAACTGAAAGTTGGTTTATCAGGGAAAAGAAGTTGATGAGGGGACTGGAGATACAACAAGCAAAAGGGACAGGAGATTAGAAAGGCAACTATAAAAGTTGGCTGAGGCAGCTCTGATCAAAAGGAAAAAAAAAGAGAAAAAACTAGCTATGTACTAAGCCTCACTGTACAGAATATGGCTTTGTACTGAATTATACATGTTGAATTCATATGTTAGTAGTTCTAGGTATTATTTTGTCATATGTGAAATACCTGGATTCCTATTAAACATTGTTTACTTTTTATGTTTTAGATGTACTTCCTTAACTGACTATGTAGTCTTCCTTTTAGTTCTAGCTCACTGTTTGGATATTTGAATCAGGTATCTCAACCTTTTAGTCTAAAATGGTTTTTCACAATTAACCTTTATATCTTCCATTATGCTTTTCAAAAGGGCACTGAAGATATGTTTTTCCCAGGTTTATCAATGAGTTAATTGAACAACTTTTCCTCACCAAAGTAGATGATGGCAGTAAAGAGGTAAATGATGATCAGTCAGCTGATGTAACTAGTAAACACCATGATCAATCTGGTGCTGTTGGATCTACACAAGGTGGTCAATCTACAAAGGGAAAAATTTTATCAACCTGTAACCAACCAGATATTATGGTATTGTCTCAAGGAAGCCACCAAGAACAAGGAAGCCCATCCATTAGTACTTACATGAATAGCCCTACCCACACGTGTAAAGAATATCATATGCACTCATGCTCTGCAGATCGGGCAACAGTGTTAGAGGCTGCAACTCAGAGAAGTGAAGTTATTCCTCCTAAAAATCTTGAGAACATGTGGTCCAATGGAAATGATTACAACAATAATGTTGACAAGCCTGTTAAAGCAGGAGATTCATCAGCACCTGCAATGAGGCCTTCAGAAACCAGCTATTCTGTGCCTGTGAGAAATTCAAGCAAGGAAATGTTAACCAACAATCATGAAAGTTTTGCAGGAACAGAGAATAAAGTTATGGTGCAGGAAATAGAAGGATTAAATATTGATTCTCAACTAAATGATGGGATTAAAATTGGAACACAGTCATCTCAAGATCCAAAGAAAGGAACATCTTTTGGGGGCGAGTATCTTGCTGATAAATTGGAGCGTAAAACCATTGCAGCTGCTAATTGCAAGAAAAAGCAGTTCAAGCGATCAATTAGCACTTCTGCTTTGAAAACTCAACTCGATATGGAAAAAACATTTATGGGTGGAGGTGGAGGGTCTTTATCTCAAAAATTCTGCAATCCAAATTCTAGCTGGCATAAAGATAATATAGTTGAGAGTCCCTCTGGTATGGTATTCTGCAGTGAAGGGCTAGTACATATTCCCAAGCTCAAGTGCCAGGTAAGAATCTTACCATGCAATTTTTGATGTGAAATTATGGAAATATGATCAGAAAATTGTCTGTAAGAAATGAAGATATGACATCAGTTTGTTTTGTTTGTGCATTTCTTTGCATGCTGATCTTCTTATCCTGTTTTCTCATCTTTGGGTTTCTTTTTTTCTTTTTTATTTTTTTATCAATAACTGTTAAGTTTATTTATGAGCAAATGCCTATTGCAATTACATTTTATACAAAGTTTTTCCATAATACCTTTATTATCAGTAAAGTTTTTCCTTAATATTACACAACAAGCTAGCTCTTAGCTGCTCTCCTGTAGCTCCAAATGGTACTATAAACTTACAATAGACCTTTATCATGTAGGGTATTGACCCAAGACATTGCCTACTAACTCCTTGTTGTCCTGGAGAACCAGCTACAGAGTTAACAGTTCTTGGAAACCAGCTTGATGTAGCTACCGATAAACTCGTCACATTCCTTGCTTCCCTTATCAAGACCTTATGCTTATCCTTTCATCCTACCAATAATTGCTTTTGAAGCCCCTTGTATAAGCAGATTTCTGTATTCAAATTATCTGGCTAGCTTGAGACCTTGCTCCTTGCAGTAATACTTGGAGTTCTATTTTCTCATCTTCGTTTTTTTATGTTTACTATGTTTCTGTAGGTCGTGGGAGCATACTTTGAAAAGCTTGGGTCAAAATCTTTTGCAGTTTATTCAATAGCTGTGACAGATGCAGAAAAGAATACATGGTTTGTGAATAGAAGGTATATATGCATATATGTTTGTATTCTATTAATCTTTTTATCCATCGTACTCATATTTCTATTATATTATATAAACAAGGGTAAATTACAGACTACCACCCTGTACTTTGGGGGTAGTGATACTTTGCCCCTTGAACTTTCTTTTCCAACAAAGACCCTCTGAACTTTCAGATTCCAACATCTTGTCCTTCTTGTTTACTGGATTGATGGAGGAAGTTAATTTACTAAAATTCCCTTTCAAGATTTGTATAGGCAAGAATATGACATTTCAAAATGACAAAAAATGGGCAGGGAAAAGCACACTATCTCTTTTCACTCCAGATCCAATGCCTTTGGACTCGAAGAGATTTTCCTAGTCCAATCAAATTTAAACAAGTCATTGGATGCTTAGTTGGAATTAACTTGCAACTAGATGAATGATAACCCTCATAAATGTTAAGACAGTGTATGCCCTTAGTTTCAATCAGCATGATGTACATTATGACATTTATTGTAAATGAATAAAGTACATATTTGATTCATGTTATTATGGTGTGTTTCTGTGTAATACCCTTAAACTGGACTCATATGAGACTTGTGTTAGTTTAGAATCTTTACAGCCGTTGGATAGATCTAGGGAGATTTATCTTATCAATTCTAACACTGGTGTATTGCCAAGTTGGTTGGGGTGGCT